TTATGTTCATTATTAATTATAAAAAAAATTAAGACGCCATTTAAATATACACTCGTGAACAAAACTTAAAGAAGTGAAAAGTCTTTGATATAGCCGGTCGTCTTTTTATTTTATTTTTTTAAGAAGACGCAATTTTGTTTACACTTAGTTATCTTGTATATCTTCACAATAAAGATCACTGTAATATCTTTCAGAGTTATTGTCCCGATATACATGTTAAAAGGTACAACTCCCTTAAGTTCTGTCCATGAGTGGATATGTGTGTGTTATTTAATAGTTCATAAAAAACAGCATATGTAAATAACTGTCCTTAATTTATCCTTCACAGTGATATAGGATTGGCTTTTTTTTAAGAGTTAAAAAATAAACTTTCAGTTTTTATCGAAACGACTGCACTTAAGTAAAATAGATATTCCTAAAAATCAAATATTATTCAAATTTTAAATAAATATCACGACATACACACGGAAATAAATATATTAAAAAGTTTTAATATGACAACCAACAAACCCACACGATCTTCTATTCAATAGAGAATCTAGTTATTCAATAAGTTCTGAGCTAAAGAAACACTGCACGCTGATTAGCTAATGAACTCAACGCTAATTGGCTGATTAAGGTCACGTGAGAGTGAATAGCCAATCAGAGCACGAATACAAAGAAATATCTAAACATTGTAAAGATGTATATTTCCCCGCGCGGCGTGTACTCACTCAACACGGCAGAACATGGAGAATACCTGCAGCACTGGTGTGCCACGGCGGTACAGGGTAGATTTGCATAACATGCAGATTGTCCACGTTGATCAACTACCGATCCAAGTTACATATGCCGTACAAACACAGAGACTTCTCTGCTGTAGAATCCGTCAAGAGTGAATCCTTCCTTAATGAATAGACATATAGAAACCACCAACACCAGAGTTGCTAGGGATAGAAATTAAGAACATTTCCATATATATCCTGAATATAGAGGCTGCCTGGCCGGCGGCATTCATAATTCTATGAAAAATAGACACTCGGCCAGTTAGAGTTTTTTATTTTCTCAACGTTTCGACAAAAATCTTTTGTCTTCCTAAGGAGAAATAAAAATAAAGAACGCCCTTGCAAACCACAGAACAATTTTAACGTCTTACCAAATGCTTTATTTTTATTTACTTCTCCTGACAAAGACAAAATATTTTTGTCAAAACGTTGAGAAAATAAAAAACTCTAACTGGCCGAAGTGTCATAGAAATATTTCCATATATAGTTACCAGAAAAACATCTATTTACATATTGTTCAAATAATAATACTTTAACATTTATAATTATTCAAATTTTGTCACATGTTTGTGTATTTGTTGTACCTAGCTGAGTATTTATTCTTACAACCTAATAGCTACCCAGTGTCGTGTACTCTATTTCTTAACTTCAGATAAAGGAGACACCTCCGAAAGCTCAGTTTGTGTCAGGTTACAATAAAAGAGCGGGGGAGAGAAGTGTATATGTCCTTGCTACTATTACTGAGTGTCATGTTGTACTATAGCGTAGGCTGAGCGACACCGTGGAGTATCGTGCTATATTTACCCCCGGGGTAACCACATCCCCGAGGCTCTACCCTCCCTCCCCTACTTCAGTCCGGGTAACCCTCCCTCCCCTCGGTGTGTGTGTGTACCATCCTTATCTTAGAGAGACTCCATTCTCACATAAGAGTTAAATATATATATACACTCATGGACAAAACTTAAGGAAGTGGAAAGTCTTTGATGGGCCGGTGTTCAATTTTTTTTTTTGAAGGAGACAGAGGTTGCTCACACTTGGTTATCTGGTGTGTCTTCATTAAAGATCACTGTAATATCTTTCAGAGTTATTGTCCCGATATACATGCTAAAAGGTACAACTTCCTTAAGTTTTGTCCATGTGTGTATATACACTTGGTTATCTCGTGTGTCTTCAATAAAGATCACTGTAATATCTTTCAGAGTTATTGTCCCGATATACATGCTGAAAGGTACAACTTCCTTAAGTTTTGTCCATGAGTGTATATACACTTGGTTATCTCGTGTGTCTTCAATAAATGTCACTGTAATATCTTTCAGAGTTATTGTCCCGATATACATGCTGAAACTTCCTTATGTTTTGTCCATGAGTGTATATACACTTGGTTATCTCGTATGTCTTCAATAAAGGTCACTGTAATATATTTCAGAGTTATTGTCCCGATATACATGCTGAAAGGTACAACTTCCTTAAGTTTTGTCCATGGGTGTATATACACTTGGTTATCTCGTGTGTCTTCAATAAAGGTCACTGTAATATATTTCAGAGTTATTGTCCCGATATACATGCTGAAAGGTACAACTTCCTTAAGTTTTGTCCATGAGTGTATATACACTTGGTTATCTCGTATGTCTTCAATAAAGGTCACTGTAATATATTTCAGAGTTATTGTCCCGATATACATGCTGAAAGGTACAACTTCCTTAAGTTTTGTCCATGAGTGTATATACACTTGGTTATCTCGTATGTTTTCAATAAAGGTCACTGTAATATATTTCAGAGTTATTGTCCCGATATACATGCTGAAAGGTACAACTTCCTTAAGTTTTGTCCATGAGTGTATATACACTTGGTTATCTCGTATGTTTTCAATAAAGGTCACTGTAATATATTTCAGAGTTATTGTCCCGATATACATGCTGAAAGGTACAACTTCCTTAAGTTTTGTCCATGAGTGTATATACACTTGGTTATCTCGTATGTTTTCAATAAAGGTCACTGTAATATATTTCAGAGTTATTGTCCCGATATACATGCTGAAAGGTACAACTTCCTTAAGTTTTGTCCATGAGTGTATATACACTTGGTTATCTCGTGTGTTTTCAATAAAGGTCACTGTAATATATTTCAGAGTTATTGTCCCGATATACATGCTGAAAGGTACAACTTCCTTAAGTTTTGTCCATGAGTGTATATACACTTGGTTATCTCGTATGTTTTCAATAAAGGTCACTGTAATATATTTCAGAGTTATTGTCCCGATATACATGCTGAAAGGTACAACTTCCTTAAGTTTTGTCCATGAGTGTATATACACTTGGTTATCTCGTATGTTTTCAATAAAGGTCACTGTAATATATTTCAGAGTTATTGTCCCGATATACATGCTGAAAGGTACAACTTCCTTAAGTTTTGTCCATGAGTGTATAAGTGTGTGTATTATTCAGTGGCTCCCCTCTAATCTCCAGCGCCACATCTGGTTGAGCGGCGCATGTGTGAAACCACTTCTTTTACTAATGTTTTATTCGTCATTAGATGCTCGTAAGACATTAGGTATTCCATCAATACCTTTCACTTATCACCCAGTTCCAAACGTTCCCTGTGTGCGTCAACACCACTACATATATATATACTTGTACATAAGAAATGGAAGCACGAATGTTTCTTTTTAAATATAAAACAAACTGCTATCCAGTACATATACACTCATGGACCAAACTTGAGAAAATTGTATCTTTTACCATGTATATCGAGATTATAACTCTGAAAGATATTACAGTGACCTTTTTTAAAAACACACGAGATAACCAAGTGTGAACAACCTCTGTCTCTTTCATAAAAAAAAAAAAAAAAAACAGACGACCGGAGACATCAAAAACTTTCCACTTCCTTAAGGCTTGTCCATGAGTGTATGCATATATATACAAACGTACTAATTGTACCATTTGTGTGAAGCTTGATCAAGGTTGGCGTGCGGCCAATTAAAATATTGTAAATAAACTATAATATTGAATCCAATATGTATATATGTTACGTTTTATATAAACTTATATTACTTATATAGTTAGACTGTATTAGAGCGTGTGTTGAACACGCACGTAACGAGAATCTCTGGTTATTACATCGCGTGTGTTTTGAGGGTGGCGAAGGAATAAAAAAAAAACACTTATATAAAAAAAGCCGGGCTGAAGGACAGTGCTGTGTATAAGCAGCACGTGGGCGAGCGTGTGTTTAACAAACAATTTCATAATTAAGGTTAATAAAGGCAATTCCCTAGGCCTAACTGGCTTTTGATGACTTCGTCTGCTCCATTTTGGCAGACGCCGCCTTCATCACCCGTCGTTTGGTCTCCAAATCCCGACGTTGGCTGGAGAGTCAATTTTTTTTGGTGTCTTGAAATCTTTTCTTAATATCTTGTGTAATTATTTGCATATTTACCTAAAATTAACTGAATAGTTATAGATAGGCATGATTTCTCTCTCTCTCTCTCTCTGTGATACTCTATATATATGAAAGCATTTATTTTGTAGAAATCGCCACAGAGGGAGAATGATTCTCAACCCATTATGCAACTAAAGGAGATCTATTTACACACATTCCCCGACGTGGGCGACAGACACCACACGTAGGATTCTTTCACCTTTTATAAAAATAAAACGAACTGAAATCAGAAGGGTTTGTTGCCATTTGTTCTAAGTATATATATATATATACTTGTAGTAGTTGTAGTACTTGTGTATATATACATGTAGTACCGGGCCATGGTGTACAGCTTGTACTGTAAGATAGATGTATCAATCAATTTTTAAAGCTGGAGAGCTTTTTCTTTTTCGAGTAAGTTAACCGTGAAATTATGTTGTGTTGAGAAAGGAAATATTGGAAGTCTTCTCTAACACACTACTATCTTCCATTCTTTCGAGCAAAATACACTTGTATGAGATCTCCACACACACTTCACAGAGTAACACATTGTCCAATTGGAGAAATACCAATAATCAGAACGACCTTTTAACTAATCCGTAAATCCCATCATTATGCATATTAGCTTTATAAACGGGCTAACCAATCAAAGACCATCTCGGCAGAAGACGCCGACATTTGAAATACTATCCCGCATGTGTTTCTTTTCAACGAAAAATCAAAATTCATTTCAAGGAGAAATAACGATTATTTCTAACCTTTTGGATGAGGTATGAAAGGGTGAATTGTGAAGAGTAATGATAAACGTAAAAATAAAAGTGTCCAGGGATGGGAATCGAACCCACAGTGTTCCGCTTACCGGGCAGATGCCATGTCCACTAGGCTACCCGGCTACACGCCGAGGAGTGTCCCCCTCGTAGGTCATCAAGTTAAGAAGCGCCGGCCGGCAGAATGTAAATATGCAACTGGAGATGGAGTGGCCTTAATTTGCATAACGTTGGCGGACTGATGCTCGGACTTGTGACTTTATAAACTAGAGACAGAAATAGAAGCTGCTTTTTTCAATCTTTTTCAATATCTGTCGATCCAGGTTAGAGTTTAGCCTAGACTCTCTCTATGGAAAACTATCTGAGGAAATATAAATCTACATATATTCAACAAAGTAAATATTTAGCTAGATAATATGTAAATATATACGAGTATGTAAATTATTATGCAAATATTTACAGACACAATTCATATCTATATATACGATATGCAAATTTGAGTATCAAACATAGCGGGCCATCTAAATAAGAAATTGAACCATTTAGCAAGTTTTTTTTTCTTTTTTAAATAAAATAACCTTCTAATTTCCATACTGTAATTGGAAGGGCCTGGCTCATCAGTGGTGAATCTACCCAGCGGTTTCGCCAGTTACCATACCGCTCTAATATTGTATTTGACAATTCTTCTTATATTTTCAGCGCTCTGGCATAATTCCTGGTTAAGATATTTTAGCAAACTCTATGAGTTTTTAGGATAGTATAAATAAATATATGCGAATTGTTTTTAAAAAAGAAAAAAAAAACGCGCTAAATGGTTCCATTTCTCATAAATAGATGGCGCGCCTTATGTTTAATTTATACCTAACTTATGGGAATTGTTTACGGAGGATGCAAATCTACTGTCCGTACAGACTTCGGTCTAGGTAGCTTCGGTGTCCTCCTCAAAACTTATGTGCACAGTTTCCAAGAATTCCACTGTAGTGCAGGCTATATAAGTAGAACAGTCAAATACAATAGTTGAGCGGTATAGTTGCGTTAACTGGCGAAACAGCTTGGAGGGTTCCGCACTGATGAGCCAGGCCCTCACACCTATTTACCATCGCAGCAAGGATGATGGTAGGTTACCTTTGTAAACGGTTCCATTTCTCATATTGGAGTGATGACTTATAAGTTCTCACTCCTGTAGAAGGACAGAAATACTCAAAAGCTCGGCTAAATTAAAACCTGACAAGAAACTCTTCACCTCACGATTTTGTACTTTGATAATTCATTGCTCCAGGTGGTTATCCAACTTCTGACATCAACTTCCATTACAACACCCCACAGTTAAGTTTTGATGATTAATTAAAATTGTTCTGAAGATAGAGAGGCTGCCTGGCCAGCATTCATATTTCTATGAAAATAGACACTTCGGCCAGTTAGAGTTTTTTATTTTCTCAACGTTTTGACAAAAATATTTTGTCTTCGTCAGGAGAAGTGAGAACGCCCTTGCAACCTCAGAACAATTTTTAACCGCTTGTCAAATGTTTATTTTTATTTACTTCTCCTGACGAAGACAAAAGATTTTTGTCGAAACGTTGAGAAAATTAAAAAACTCTAACTGGCCAAAGTGTCTATTTTTCATAGAAATAATCAAAATTGGTTTAACTAGCCTAGTAAATTGAAGGCCTAGCTACATATGGAAAGTGGATTTAAAAAAAAAAAAACGCTAATTTTCTATAATTATTTAGGGGCAACCTAAATCAACAGTACAACTAATGGAATTCGCCGTTATATGAAAAAAGTTAAGACCATATAGACTGAATGAATCAAAACAACTGTTGGAATGAACTGGCGAAACCTCTGTAGGATTTATTCCAAGAGGGTTTTTCCTTCCGTAGTGAGAGTAGAATGAAGTTATATATTGGAGCGTATTGTCTCCTCCACTACATGTTGGTGATTGACCATTGTGAGGATATCGTTGTAATGAGAGAGGAGAATCTGACTGGTGTCTTAATAAAGGCCTTGTTTGTGTTTATATTGGAGCGTAAATAAACATGCTATAAAGTAGAGATATATCCTACTGGTGATACAGGATAAACCAATGGTTGTAACGGTCTGGTGGAATAAAATGACACATATAAAATGAAAGGATTTAAAACCACGAATGTTTCTTTTATACATAATGCAAACTTCTACTGCCCTCACTGCGATTAAAAAAATATATTGGGAGGGCTTGGCTCATCAGCGGTGAACCCTCCCAGCGGTTTCGCCAATTTAATCTACCAGACCGCTTCTTAGATCTCTAATACTGTATTGAACGATTCTGCTTATATATGTTACACTGAAGGATGGAATCTTAGAAATGGTGCTGATGTTGCTTTGTGTTAAAATGACACATCTCCGGAGAAGTACAGAAAATCATTTTATATTAAATATTTGTGGAAAATTAACACAGAATAAAGAAGCTTAGAGAGAGCGGTAAATTAATAAAAAAGCCATCTTCTGCGCATAAATATTAGATTTTTAAAAAATCGTTTGGTTGATATTTATTGAGTTAAGTCTTTTCACAAACGGTTTTTTATTATAGTAAATAATTAATATTATATATAAAAATAAATAAATGAAAACATTAAAACACGAATGTTTCTTTTACACATACAACAAATTTCTACTGTCTTCACTGCGATGTAAAATATTGGGAGGGCTTGGCTCATCAGTGGTGAACCCTCCCAACGGTTTCGCCAATTTAATCTACCAGACCGCTTCTTTGAGCTCTAATACTGTATTGGACGATTCTGTTTATATATGTTACACTGAAGGGTGGAATCTCAGAAATGGCATTTAAGTAAACTATGGACATAAGCTTTTAGGACAGTAGAATTACATATAAATATTAAAAGGAAAAGTATTTCTGTCTGAATGTGCCACAGAGTGGAGGTATCTATGTAAAGACCTATTTACATACTGCGGTGTAACATGAAAGCAGAGCTGTGGCAGAAAGCATCCAGATGTTTCTTATCAGTTCTGAGAGAACAACAATATCCCGGCCACAAGCACACAACCTAAAACATGACACACTGCTTGCTTTACTTTATTGCTGTTGTTTACAACTGCTTACAACAAAATTTACATATCTCCTGAGAAGTGTAGAAAGTCCTTTTATATGAAATATTTGTCGAAAATTAAAAAGAAGAATAAAGAAGCTTAGAGATGGCAGTAAATGAATAACAAAGCCATCTTCTGCTGATAAATATTGGAAACATTTTTCGTTTAGTTGATATTTATTCCGCTAGATGGCCCTAATCATCTTTCGGCCTTCAGTGGTATTTTTTGAGAAGATGATTTTATCATCACTAAACTATTTAAATTTATCTTGTAGAAAATGTCGGCATTTTATATAGAAATATGAATTACAATATGTAAAAATTTAGTTTAAAAAAATGTGCATGATTATTCAATATGCAAATATGTAATAAACGCCATCTAGCGGTGTGAGGCTGAATGAGAGTTCGCGAATGTTTCGTTTCAAAATAAAACGTGAAAGATTTGGAGGATGTTTATATATAAATAGCTGGGATCTCTCTCTCTTTCTGGAAAAAAAAAAGTTTTAAAAAATAGATTCTTTATTTTAAAAAAAGTTTAAATAAAGGTTCCTAAACAAGAAACTCGCGTGTGAGACAAACAAACAAAAAGTTGAGTTTTTGTATCCAATAGTTTCTATTTCTGTTATTTATGTGGATTAATGGAAAAATAGAATCATCTACACTCATGGACAGAACTTAAGGAAGTTTTACCTTTTAGCATGTATATCGGGATTCAGATAATAACTCTATTTGATACACAGTGACCTTTATTGTAGATACACGAGATAACCAAATGTGAACAAAAAATTGACTCTGTCTCCAAAAAAAAAGAAAAAAAAAAAAAAAACAGACGACCGGCGAGATCAAAGACTTTCCACTTCCTTAAGTTTTTTTTTTTTTTTGCCCACGAGTGTATATCTAAGTGTGAAACATGGACCACAGTTGTTATGGATATCGGGAATCCCTATATTCCATATTTCCAAATAGTTCAAACGAGAGTAGAGAAAACATCAGCAACCTCCGGTCATCAAGACTTCACTAGATATCTGTGATCAGTTAGTTTAACAAGAAACAATGATAAAAAGAAGCTATACTGTTGTTTGCTATAATAGAGCGGTAGCAGGAGGGATAGATAGAGAGAGATGACTCTAACAGAACAATAGTCGCTAGAGATGTGGAAATATGTAATTTGTAGAGAGATATAGATAACTGGGAGATATTCAACTCGGTCCAATATAACGTGAAGAGGTAATGTACAGTAAGTGGAGGTAGGGCAGGAACCTACCTCATGGCAGTAGGAGCCGGGGGAACACTGAGGGCGCCTCTACAGCAGCGCTCCTGGCGGCCGATGATTGAACTTGTGTACCGGAGCCGTAACCCTAGCGCCACGAGCGGACGTTAGCTAGTTAGTTTGGTCATCTAGTCAACTTAGCTCTTTTACTGTTAGATAGGATGTGACATTTGTGTGTATGGGTTCACCAAACACATTTTCGGATAACCATTCATCAACAACAAAAATAATTCCTGTTATCTTAATTTTGTTTTTATTGGGAGATATAGAGTTTGAAACTGATTTATTACAATGTTCATATAAGATTATATTTGAAAAATTACAAAATTGAATAAATAAATAAGATTATATAATGATAAATATAGGAATAAATAGATATAAATTGATAAAAATATTTGATAAATATACATATATATATTTTTTTTGAAAATAGAGCAATCCATAAATAAATCTTTAATTAATTGGATCAAAATATCATTTATTTTACCAATATTTCAGTTGGCTGAACACCAACCTTGTTGACACACTTTAAAATGTTATAATACCTTGATAAAGGTTGGCGTTCAGCCAACTGAAATATTGGTAAAATAAATGATATTTTGATCCAATATTTGTCTTTTTAATTAAACATATATATATATATATATATATATATATATATATATATATATATATATATATATATATATATAATATATACAGGAGATATATGTAGAATTGTTTAAAATAAAATATACATATCCTGATCGATTGTATGAGGATTTTTAGAT